TCATAGGGATTTATAGTGGACAATTAGTGAATAGAGGAAAGATAACGCCTTCCTTCCTACCAATTTTTACTGGGATATGTCTAGGTACTGTACTTGCAGGAGGTGATATAGGGATAAATGTAATGCTGATTGAGAAAAAGCAACCAAAGTAGTCATAGGGATTTATAGTGGACAATTAGTGAATAGAGGAAAGATAACGCCTTCCTTCCTACCAATTTTTCTACAATGTTCCATTTTGTTTTACTCATGCATAAGTATGTAACATTACATTAAGTTATGTCCTTTTTTATCAGTCCCCATTATCTGGCAACTGTAAAACACCTCTGGCTTGTAGCAAGTTTTTTGTTTGTTTGTTTTCTGATTTTTTTTTTTTTTTTTTTTTTTTTTTTTTTTTGACTGTACAAAGCAGCAAGTGATTCTCAGTTTCTTCCACTGTGTAATACTCTGGTTAGAAAAAAATATTTTGAGCTAAGAGCATGGTTTCCTTTTTTATTCTTTTTCTCTTTTTTGATTTATTTTGTATTTTTCCCATCTTGCAGAATCATTTAATTAATCAATTGTTATAAAATTTTCTTGAACTTGTCATCCTTTATGTTGTAAGCCGCCTAGAGTGGTCGAAATGACTAGATAGGCAGGGTATAAATACAATAAATAAATAAATAAATAAAATATGCTATAAATAATTGGGAAATATCACTCTCTCTCTCTCTCTCTCTCTCACACACACACACACACACAAACACACACACACACACACAATTGCACTATATGAAATTTATTAAACAGTTTTAATAGCATAACCTCATAATAAAAATAAATGTTGTACGCTTGTCAGTCATTCCAGTAATTTTTCACTCAAGTGATGAGAAGATCGGAAATACAGTAGGAGATTTTATTTTTCCTTATGGCTACAAGCTTCAATGCACTTACTAGGTACAGTACTAAGTCCCATTGAACAGAACAGATTTTTAGTCAAAGTAAATGCATATAATAAGGCTTTTATGTAAATTTCTGTTAATAATCAAAGTGGGAATGGGCGGCTCTTCAGATGTTGTGAAACTATAACTCTTCATATTCACTCATCATTGGCTATGCCAGTTAGGGGTCCTGGGAGCTGCACTTCAGCAACATTTGGAAGACCATGCGGTCCCCATCCATGGGCGATAGACTTGACATGAACAAGTATGCTTTCTTGATGTGTTCAGTGGGTCTTAGCCCCAGGAAAATGAGCATGCCATTACAATAATTTCAGAGCTATGTCTAAGAAAGTGAGAACTTTGTTACGTGACAACTCCAAATGTAGTGCCAACTAGCTGACCTGCCGCATCACCTGGGCACAGATAAGTGAGGGAAACATGTTAAGATTTGTGATTGCTGTGTGGGTGAAGGATACAGTTGCTGTTGACATTTTACGCATACTCCTCCCCCACACATGGTTGAAAAGAAACTTCTTTTATCGGCATAATTCTGCCTGTGGACTGGGCTAGTCCAAGGTCTGCAATCAACCATTTTATATGGGGGGGGGGGTAAGGCAGCTGCATCAGATCTCTGCCATCCCATTGTGGCAGTAGCTGACAACTCAATAGCTAAAATCCAGTAGAAAGTTGCAACTAAGTAGGGTCATTGCATCAACGGAGATGTGGTGAGTCAACGTCTCTCTAAGTTTCCTTGATTCAGTGGGCCTACTCTAGTTGTGACTTACTACCAGATTTTAGCCATTACCTTTTAATTGTAAACAGCGTATGCAGAGTTTGTGTGCTAGATTTTCAGAAGATATCTAGAAGGTGTCTGAACATGGTGAACCTAGTTGACAAGGTAAAAAGCAGTGATTCTGCTTTGGTGGGGAACCTGGCAGGGACTGCAAAAGCAACCAAGCGGCATGTGGTCTGTATGTTTCCCACCCGTGTTCTTTGCATATTGACTTATTTAGTCAATCTTCATTACAACTACAACCTACATTGCAGTCAGAGCTTGCAAAAGTTCCTTGCAAAACAAATCTGTATCTCCCCAAATTCTCCAGCCAGATTGGCCAGTTGGCTGGGAGATCTGACAAAGTAATGTTTCCAGATTCTGATTGTAACTGTGGCAGGTTCTGGGGGAAAAAACTGGAATTGTCGCTATGGCATGTTTTCCTTGGCTGAAATATCTTGTTTCCCTTTCTCTTTGCAAGCCTTGTCCTGGATTCATGACTCCAAAATTCCATAGAGAGGCATGAATGTATACCATAATCTCTGTAGAAAAGAGCCATTCCATACACATCCTGATGTCCCCCCAGTACTGCATGTAGTAAAGCTGAAGCACAGACATCCTCTTGAAATTTGCATAAAAGCTTGAACATTTATTGGGGCTACATTTCTGTGCTCATCTATCTGTGAGAAGGTCCCACTGAATTCAGTGTGATTTGCTTCTCAGTTGGTATGTGGGCAACTGCTGGATAAAATGCAAGATGTGAGCATGGGGTCAGATTCACTTCAGCTCCCTGCATAGCTGTAACATATGAAAGAATGGCTTTGGGCATGTCACATTCTGGTAGTTTAAGCAATTTATTGTAATTATTGTGGGAATTAAATATGTATGTATGGGGATGATCTAAGACATTCTGCCAGCTTAGGGGGAATAGCAAATGTCATATCTGCCCCCTTAAGGCAAGGTATGTAAAACTCAAAGCTGGCCAGGTTATTATGGCAAGGAGAAAATTGTACAATCATCTGTCCCTGGGAGTTAAAATTTAGTAATAATAAATTAAACTTTGCTGCCTGTTCATGAACAACCCAAGGCAGCTCTATGAGATAGTCACCTATTGAACCACTCCTTGGTTATGGCAAACAAGTTTCCTGTACTTTTAATGTAGTGACACATAATGTTTGGCCCTCTAGATGTTTCAGATGGCAATTCCCTGAAGCTCCATTTGCTATGGCCAAGGGTAGGGGACTGAGAGAGCTGTGGTCTTGGAGGACCAAGGGTTGCCCAACCCTCTTCTGGTGTCTGAGAGATATAAAAGAAGAAAATGAGCATCAGTGTAATTCTTTACACTTATACTGTACCTTGAAAGGGTTTGATTTTACACTGTAAAATGGACAACTTCTCCCCTCCTAAGATGTGTGTTATGTGAAACCAGCTGGGGTCTGCATTTCAGCGTGCGAGTGTTAGTGACCACAGGCCAATATGGGGAGCTGGAGGTGAAGTATCCCATGGTCCATACAAGGTCCTTAGCAGGAAGGGTCAGGCTAGTATGAGGCCAGTGCCTTATGTAGCAGATGTTGGGAGATGGTGTGGTGAGGTGTTTGAGGAGAAACCTGTGTACCAGACGGCTTGCCTTGAACCCCTTAGTTAAGTTGCTACCCTCAGTCATGACACTTCTTACTGCCTGTCCAGCAGGCTTTTATTACATGTATAAGAGGATGTTGCCATAGACAGCAAAATGTTTTCGGTCAGTCCTGGCCCTCAGCCTTAGTGATGTAAGAATGTTATTGGACTATCACTCCTAGAAATTCTGGCCAGCACAGTTAGTGGTGAAGGCTTCTGGGACGTGGTGGCGCTGCGGGCTAAACCGCAGAAGCCTGTGCTGCAGGCTCAGAAGACCAGCAGTCGCAAGATTGACTCCACGTGACGGAGTGAGCTCCTGTCGCTCGTCCCAGCTCCTGCCAACCTAGCGGTTCGAAAGCATGCAAGTGCAAGTAGATAAATAGGTACCACCTCGGTGGGAAGGTAACAGCGTTCCATGTCTAAGTCGCACTGGCCATGTGACCACCGAAAGAATGTCTTCGGACAAATGCTGGCTCTATGGCTTGGAAACGGGGATGAGCACCACCCCCTAGAGTCAAACACGACTGGACAAAAATTGTCAAGGGGAACCTTTACCTTTACCTTACAGTTAGTGGTGAAGGCTTCTGGGAGTTTTAGTCCAAGAACATCTGGGGACCCAAGGTTGGGAACCACTGCCTCTGAAGTGACTGTTTAATACCTTTTCTAACTTGTGGCTGTTGAAGAGATGTTAATAAACCATATTCAGGATTTATTAAATTTAAACTACCAATGGATTTCACATCTGAGTCACAGAGGAAAGTGTGAATCTTTCTGGCAAGAAGCTCATTTTCTTTCTCGAAAAGAAGAACATCGATCAAAGTGAAATAGAATCTCTCAAATATTTTCGAATATTCTTAGGTTGGACAATCCCTGTTTCACAGCGTCTCTGCAAATGTAACCTACCGAAGACGCTGGAGTCTATGAAGTATGCAGCGACACGTGAAAGGAAATGTTGTAGAGAGCAGGCAGGTACAAGGAAGGGTCAAGGGCAAGGCAGGCAGAAGGCGTGGGGAGGGGAGCGGCAAGGGCGGGGAGAAGGTAGCGGCACGAGAAAGAGCAAAAAAGAAAAGAGCGACCGCTTTCCCTCCCGCGCAATGGAAAAGGCGCAATGGCTTATGGGGAATGGAGTCTGCTCTTCGCAATACTTTCGGAGGCAGAGCGGAAGCGGAGCACTACGTTTCCCGGCACGCCTTTCACGAATCGATTTCTCCCAATCTTCTTCATCTTTGGCGCAAATAGTCACGTTTTGTTTATCACTAGGGCCCCGCCTTTCTGTACCTCACGAGGATGGCGTCACCCCCTCATGAATATTGAGAAGGCGCTGGAATGGCGTTGCTAATGTAGGGAGAGAGCAAGGAGGAGGAGGAGGAGGGGGGAAAAAAGAGGAGGAAAAGAAAATTACACCGCCTTCATCGAGGCCTGCTTTAATTAATATTCATAAGGAGCCTCCGAAGGAGAGGCCAGGCCGGGTGGGAGGGGAGGGGAGGAGGAGGAGGAGGAGGAGGCGGCGGCTACCCGCTGCTACTGATCCTCTCCTTTCCAGTCCCTAATGGCGCTCACGACAACGGCAGCTGCTGCGCGGCGGCGGGGCTGAGCCGAATGGAACGCAGAGACACCGACGGAATGTTCGGCGCCGCTACATAATCGCGCTCCCCCTCCCCTCTTCCGAACGCGGCGTGTCCGAGCGTTCGACAATGGAACCTGCGCAGCAACCCCAGCATGGAAGCCGACAGACGCCGGCCCCGATGAGCGGCAAGGGGGAGCGGCCGGGCAGCGCGGGCCAAGCAGCCGCCGCCGGCTCCGAAAGCTGCAGCGGCATAGCAGGAGGAAAGGGAGGAGGAGGAGGAGGACCCAGCCCACTGGAAGGCGGCAAAGGAACGACGGCCACGACGGGTGTAGTCGGCGGCCAGCAACGGCGAAGGAAACGAGGGGCCGGGGCTGCCGGAGGACCCGGCAGCGGCGGGGTGTCTTCGCTCGCG